TAACCTGGATTAAAAGTGTGGATTATTGTAACCTGGATTAAAAGTGTAGATTATTGTAACCTGGATTAAAAGTGTGGATTATTGTAGTGAAGCTTTCGTCTTCAACCATCGACAGAGGCCTCATGTCAGTGACGATCATGTTCAGGATGTTTCAGTGAAGACAGCTGCTGCTGTGGTGTCCATGATGTCTGTCCATCATGCAGGATGTTGTTGTTTGTTGTTGTTTTCTGGAATGAGAGAGTAAATATGTTTTATAGCATAATTATTACAGCAACTCAAGAAATGCCTTGTTTCACTTACAGTGTTAGGTTCAGGCAAAAGTAGCTAAAAGAGCAATTACACACACACACACACACACACACACACACACATATATATATATATATATATAAAATACTTAATTACACACATTTGAGTAGATGTGATAAATTACTTTAATTCCTGTTTAAATGCAATTCATCCTGCCATACCTGCAGTGTCTTCAGACTTTGCCAGCAAATTAAAAGTTGAAGCTTAATCATTAAATTATTATCTTTGTGTTAGATTTATTTATAAATCACATTTAAACACTGCTTGTACCAACTAAATAAAATAAAAAGTAACACACGTTCTCTATCACTGTCATTAATCAGATAAACAAACAAACAAACAGCTTCATCTACCAGAGAGACTGACGTTACGTTTTCTCTCTTGAAACAGAACAATGTGTTAAATTGTAGAGACTCACCTGCAACACGATTTGTATCAGTTGCAGCTCCTTCCTCCTCCTCGTGACTCCGACATGTTTACGTTTCATCTCCGTGGTTCTCCCGTCTCGTGTCGGCGATTTTCAAAGCGACATGCTTCTCATTTTTTATCTTTGTTAAGTTCTCCCACACTTTGGAGGACTTGGTTCGAACAGTTTTCGCTGTGTTGGTCATTTGTAAAATGTACTTATTTTTCTTTGAAAACACTCTGCTCTGCTTCCTTCTCCCCCCCCTCGCTCTGTTCAACTCGCGCTGCAGTTTTTTTTTCCCAAACTTTATTCAGTCAGTCAGCATTGACAATGAACTGCCCGTGGACAAAACGAAACGGCTCCGCAGCGCCGTGAAAGACGTATAATCGCGCGACACAACGAATCGATAACGAAATTCGTTGCCAACGCTTTTAATCATCGATTTTTATCGATTTTATCGATTCGTAGTTGCAGCCCTAATGCTAATGAATCACTGCAGGAGCTACATGATATCATCAGCTCGCTGCAGAGCAAACACCCCAAGGATCTTTACGTTGTAGCCGGAGACTTTAATCACGTGAATCTAAAGGACTGTCTCCCAAGCTTTTATCAACATGTGATAATTCCAACACGTAGAGACCACACACTGGACCGTGTTTACACGAACGTAAAAGATGCATACAAAGCCGAACCCCGCCCCCACCTAGGACTGTCAGACCACATCTCAATCTTCCTGGCTCCTGCTTACATGCCCCCGCTGAGACGCTCCAGACCGGTACAAAAGAAAGTTAAATGCTGGATCCAGGACAGTGGCCCCATACTGAGAGATTGTTTTGACCGAACAGACTGACAGGTTTTCAGAGAAGCTGCTGAAAATGGAGGTTCGCTTGATCTGGACCAATACACATCCTCAGTTCTGGGTTACATTAGTACATGTACTGACACAGTCTCCACTATCAGAAATGTTAAAAGCTACCCAAACAGAAAACCTTGGCTGAATGCAGAGGTGCGTACCCTGCTGGAAGCCAGGAACACTGCCTTCAGGTCTGGAAACTCAGAGGAACCGAGTAGGACAAGAAAAGAGCTGGTTGCTGGGATTAAGAAGGCCAAGGCCACATATGTACAGCAGATCGAGGGTCAATTCATCTCACAAGACCCTCAGAGCATGTGGAGGGGCATTAAGTGCATAACAGATTATAAAGGAAGGAGCGAACAATGCCCCAAAGACTCATCTCTGCCCGATGCCCTCAACAAGTTCTATGCACGCTTTGAAGACCCAAACAGACCACCCAGCACCAGACTCACCTCACCACCGGATGAAGAGCATCTCAGCGTGACCTCAGCAGAAGTAAGGAGTACCTTCAGGAGGATTAATCCACACAAAGCAACTGGCCCAGACAACATCCCCGGAAAAGTGTTGAAGGAATGTGCTGATCAGCTCTGTGAGGAGCTGGCAGAAATCTTTAACACCTCACTTACCCTGGAGACAGTTCCCACCTGCCTGAAGACTGCCACCATCATACCAGTCCCAAAGAGTTCTACAGTGACTGGTCTGAATGACTATCGGCCAGTGGCCCTCACCCCGATAGTCGCTAAATGCTTTGAAAAACTGGTCATGACTCGCATCAAAACAACCATCAACATCAACGAGGACCCTCATCAGTATGCATACCGTGAGAACCGTTCAACAGAGGATGCAATCTCCTCTGTGGTCCACACTGCACTCAACCACCTGGAGCAGAAAAACTCTTACGTCCGTATGCTCTTTGTGGACTTCACATCCGCCTTCAACACCATGATCCCCCAAACCCTGATGGACAAACTATCCACACTAGGACTAAGCCCCTCCATTTGCAACTGGGTACTAGACTTTTTAACAAACAGACCACAGTTAGTGAGGATCCACAACCTCTCCTCCTCCACCATAACCCTCAGCACTGGCTCTCCTCAGGGATGTGTGTTGAGCCCCCTCCTGTTTACTCTGCTCACGTATGATTGTGCAGCTACTGTTACGGCCTGAGGCCATTTGGTTGAGCAAAAGTGTTTGCAGGTTGATTGCTGACTCAGCTGTGCTGTGGCCCATCTGGGATTGGCTGCTTCACTTCCTGAATCCTCCCCAATGGACATCAATCTGCATCCTGGTTGGCTTCTTCACCTCCTTCTCCTCCAACCACAGAAGAGGCCTGCTTATTTAAACCCAGCTCTCCTGCCATTCAGGGTGGCTGTTGTTTAGAGCAGCTCGCCATTAGTATGGGTTTATGTGTCTTTGGACTTGAGTCTTTTGATTTGAATGGTTTGGCTTTGGCCAACAATTAAACCCTGCAGTTGCTGTTGTTAGTTGGTGTTGTTTGTAAGCCTCTGAAAACAGTTAGAAGGCTTACTTGTTTACTTTTTGTTTTGACTCATTGTAAATTTGGTTTGAGTATTCGTTCACTTGGTTAACCTTAATTTTGTTATTTGACTTGGTTGTGAAAACTTTGTTGTAATTTGTATTTTGAAAGTACCCCTCCTCTTTGTTAAATGTTAAATTTTGTTTTAAAATGACCAATTAAATTATTACTTTTATTCAAACCTGTTCCATCTGGGTTTCTAATGTTGCCTCCCCTTCTCCTAGCTGAGCCGGGTCGTAACACTACCCATCCAGGCTGTCACATTGTAAAGTTTGCAGATGATACAGCGGTGGTGGGATGCATCACAAACAATGATGAGTCCAGCTACAGGCAAGAGGTGGAACACCTGGAGAGCTGGTGCAAAGAGAATAACCTTCACATCAATGTGAAGAAGACAAAGGAGATGATTGTGGACTTCAGAAGGAACAAAAACACCTACACCCCCCTGAACATAAGAGAATCTGCGGTGGAAGTGGTCTCCAGCTACAAGTACTTGGGTGTACACATGAATGACAACCTCAGCTGGAGCAACAACACCACAAGCCTGATCAAGAAAGTTCATCAGAGACTCTACTTCCTCAGACGGCTGAGGCGAGCTGGTCTGGGAAGCTCAGTCCTCACCTCCTTCTACAGGTGTGCAGTGGAGAGCATCCTGTGCTCCAGCATCAACGTGTGGCATGGAGGCTGCACAGCTGCAGAAAGAAAAGCTTTGCAGAGAGTGGTGTAGGCTGCACAGAAGTCTGTCGGAATCGGCCTCCCCACCATCACAGACATCTACACCTCCAGATGCAGGAAGAGGGCCACCTGCATCATGAAGGACCCCACTCACCCAGCACACACACTTTTTGCCCCGCTCCCCTCAGGAAGGAGGTTAAGGAGCATTAAGTGTAGAACCACTAGACTGAGGAACAGCTTCTACCCTGAGGCTGTTAGACTCATGAATCTCTAACTAGAATAATCACTGTGAAAAACCATATCATGTTGCTGATTTGTTTCATGTTGCTGCTGATCTGTTTCAATGTTGATGTGTTCATGCGTGCACATCCGCTCACAGACTCATGTTCATGTTTGTGCTGATGTTCAAGGTTTTATGTTATGAGTGCTTAGTGTATATTTAGTTGATGTTTTTCTTAGTTCATATCTTAGATGTTATTACTGTTTTTCTTATACATTTTATTGTTGGATGTAACTGGGACCCTGTGTACATAATTTCGCTCCACCACATGTACCACATGAGGTGCGAATGACAATAAAGAAACTCTGACTCTTCTAGTAAATGTTTTCTTCAGTGCACCCCAAAATCAAAGCTTCAAACAGCATGAACAGCACAACAGAATTTCAGAAATTATTTCATGGCTTTTAGGTGTTTTTTTTTTGTGCCACCCCTGGATTTTCAGTGGGGCCCACAAGGCCCCCCAATTCAAATATTTCTGGAGGCGCCACTGCGAGTATAGATGTGTCACAAAGGCCCAGCGGCTGGTGGGGAAACGGGCTCAAACAGAATCCGGTTTCAGAACAAACCCAAATATGACCCGGTGCCCAATAGAGGCCGAGGGAATCTACTAACCTCTTTGACTGGGGGGAATTTCTTTTTGCACTCCATGGAGAGAGACCGCAGGTCCGTCTGCATGTTCTCCAGCAATTTCTTAACTGCTTCGGGGCTGCTGGTCGACATCTTGGACGGCGTCCTAGACATAAAAATCTGAGGAAATTTTAAGACGTTAAGGACCGTGGGAGTGTGGTCGCCCGCCACCCCTTTCACGGCCGGGATCTGATAAACCCGTCGCTGCTTTATTCGCTTCCCTTGGAAAGGAAAACACGGTCCATTGACACCAAACCCCACTCCTCCGCTCCGGGCTCCCCTTCGCAGGAGAGAAGCGATGACACCGGCATATGTTCCTTCTAAATGCCCACTGACATCAGCTTAAAGAGCAGCCGTCGTTAGGCCAACTTTATATTCCTTTAAAGTGGACACAAGTCGAAGCTATTCGATCAAATTGACCTGTCTGCGACCGTCAGCTCTACTTTCCTTCCCACAATCCTTAGGGCCAGAGAGTGACACGTCACTCCGACTTCCGTAAACATTGAAGGGCTTTAGGAAAACAACTGCAGCGCCATCTACTGGATGGCATACTCAAACAGTTAAAAAAATACATAAAAAATCGATATGGTTAAAATCTGGGGGGGGGGGTGTTATTTTTTTATTCAATTTATATTTTATCATAAGTTAACTTTTAAACAACTATTTAAAAGATTTTGAGACAGCCCAACTTGAGTGGGTTGGAGATAAAATTAGAAGTTACTAGAAAACTATGAATTAGCAACTCATTCATATAATGCTTCATCATAATTTCAAGATATTAGCTCTTAATTATGAGATAGAATAAGTCCATGTTAGATGCTAAGTCAAAATTATAAGATGCTAAATCATAATTGTACGGAAGAAGATTAGGAACACAATCAAAATTAATAAAATCACAATTTAGACTTTTTAAATATAAATTCTGAGATTAAAGTTATTTTAATTAAAGTTACTTTAATCTTAGAAATCTAAGAAGAAAATTTCAAAACACTAAAAATAATAAATACATTTTTAAATTTTTTTTGTATAATTTTGAGATGTAATTAAAGCTGCAAAACAGCATTGAAGGCCCTCGCAGCAAAGTGCCGCTCCGACCTTACGGTGACCGCGGGAGCCCCAATGACTCTGTCTAGTCGCCATCGTGAATGCTCTCGTGCCCGTCCCGTGCTCGTTCACCGGGTTGCGCATTCGCCAAACCTTCAACATCACCTGCGACCGCTGGCGCTCCAACAACGCCTCCCAGTCGCCATCGCAAATGCTCTTGTGCCATTCCGGCACACGTCCACCAGGGTGCGCACATGCCGAAACTTTGCAAATCACCTTCCGCCCATATCAGTATGAGTCTGTCTGCAAGCCTTACAAGTTGGCCAAAATCCGACCTTCCAGACGGGAGTTCTTGTCACTTCCTGTTTTGTCGCAAATGTAAAAGACTTCCTTTAAGCTTTTCAACATGTCATATGTGGTAATCAACAGTTATCGAATCCAGTTTCAGTCTTATATCTTACACAATGCCAAGCTGGAAGAGTCACCCAATAATCATCAGTTTCTTCACTGAGTGGTCTGGGCTTAAGTCAAATCATGAATCAACAATGCCAGTGTGTCTACAAGTGCTCACTGATGAATCATAAAAATCTGGTCTAGATCAGATAATGTATCACTGAGAAATAACTGTTGGAATAATCTAGGGGGTGCACTGGAGTCAATTGTTAAACAATACCAATGTGTGTAGAATGTTTAATTGATCACCCTCAATAAATCTGGTACAGATTCCATGATATATAACTGAGATATAACTATTGGAATAGTCTAGGGGGCGCAATTGAGTCAAATGTAAAACCACAACATCAATGTGTGTAGAAGTGCTCACTGATCATGCACAATAAATCTGGTACATATTGGATGATAATTCACTGAGATATAACTGATGGAATAATCTAGGGGGCGCACTTCAGTCATATGTGACACCACAATATCAATGTGTGTAGACGTGCTCACTAATTATGCACCAAAAATCTGGTTCCGATCGGATGATGTATCACTAAGATATAACTGTTGGAATAATCTAGGGGGCGCACTGTAGTCAAATGTTAAATAATACAATCACTCACCAAAAATCTGGTACAGATCGGATAATATATCATTGAGATATAACATTTTGAATAAGGTAGGGGGCACACATGAGTCAAATGTTAAACAAAACAATACCATGTAATGATTGAGGTTGAATCAGAACCACAAGAATCCAGAACGGTTTAAAAGGTTTTATTAAATAAGTAAAGAGCTGCCACTCTCGGCTGGTGTTGGTAGTCAAGCAGCTGAAGCTGGATCTTGTAAGTCTCAGTGGGCCAGAGGCAGAGCGCTGAACAGCGCTGAGACGTCACCGAGGGGCGGTGTACATCGGTGGTCTTAGGTGGATGATTCAGAGGCAGAAGTCGTGGGCAGAAACAAGGTTGGCAACAGGATCTGATAAAGGCGACAGTACCAAAGAGCAAGGCAAAACTCGGAGTCCAAAAGCAAGCAGATAACGGCAGCAAAAAGGCAGATGAGCAGAGGTACAAAAGGGCAAGACAAAATCAGAGGTCGAGGGGCAGGCAGGAGACTGTGAACAGGATCAGGATACAAGAGAGAAACACTGGAAGACTACTCACCAAAGGCTTTCGATATTCTGTCACCAGACTTCTTCTTCTTCTTCTTCTTTTAATTTATTGGCGGATTGCAAACAACTTTCAGGTGCATACCGCCACCTACTGAGCTAGAGTGTGCAACTCATGACCTCTGTCCCTAAATTCTGCTTTTTATATTAACGTTTTTCAAGTATGTAACCAACGCTTTTCTGACATCTTTTATCTTATCCTTCTCCCCTTCATTTCTTAAAATTCCTCCTAAACTCCAAGCTCTCCCTTTCTCTTTGACTTTTCTTTTCAGTCTCTCCCTTTCTTCCGTATATTTATTGCATTCCATCAATACATGTTCCACACTTTCTGTTTCCCCACATTCCTCGCATCTATTGTTATTCCTTTTACCCATTATGAACATTGTGTCATTAAGTAATGTGTGTCCCGCCCTCAATCTCATAAGTATCACCTCCTCTCTTCTACTTCTTTCTCTATGCTGACGACAGTCAGATCTATATGCCACTTAAAAAGAAAGATGCCCCCTCAATTAGGCCACTTCTGTTGTGTCTTGAAGACATCAAAGCCTGGATGTCTTTAAACTTCTTAAATTTCAATGAAAAGAAAACAGAAGTGATGGTGTTTGGTCCTAGTGGCTCTTGTGAACCTTGCCCTGTTGATCTGGGCCCTCTGGCATCACATGTAAAGAAAACTATTTCTAACTTGGGTTTTAAAATGGACAGTGATTTTAAATTAGAGTCCCAGATTGGAGCGGTGGTCAAGACCAGTTTTTATCACCTCAGACAGCTGCTAAGGTAAAGACCATCCTTACAAAACAGCAGCTGGAAACAGTAATCCATGCCTTCGTCACCTCTCGGCTGGATTACTGTAACGCTCTTTACCTTGGAGTCAGCCAGTCCTCCCTCAGACGTCTCCAGTTGGTCCAGAACGCTGCTGCTTGGCTTCTAACTGGAGTTCAAAAGAGGGAGCACATCACCCCCACTCTGGCTTCACTCCACTGGCTGCCTGTTCATTTTAGAGTTCATTTTAAGATAATTTTATTTGTTTTTAAAAGTTTAAATGGTCTTGCTCCATCCTACCTCTCTGAGCTGCTTCACCCATACTCTCCTGCTCGGTGCCTCAGATCAGCTGATCAGCTGCTCCTGGAGGTGCCGAGGTCTAAGCGGAGGCTCAGAGGGGACAGAGCTTTTTCTGTTGCTGCTCCAAGACTGTGGAGCGATCTCCCTCTTCCCATCAGACAAGCCCCTTCACTGTCCAGTTTTAAAACTCTTTTAAAAACACATTTTTCCTCCCTGGCTTTTAGCACACACTGAATTTGATCTGCACTGTTTTTATTACTTTTATTGATCTTAATGTTTTAACAACTGTTTTTATGTGTTTAAATGTTCTTGATTTTATATGTACAGCACTTTGTGGCAGCTGTGGTTGTTTTAAAGGGCTTTGTAAATCAAGTCTTATTATTATTATTATTATTATTATTATTATTATTAAACGTTGTTATTTTAACTGATTTTTGGATCCTGAATAATTTTCTTCCTTTCTTGTCCTCATTCCATCTCTTTTGCCATTTATTTAGTTCTTGTCTTTTAATAATTGATTTACCCTCTCCTTTCCCTAATGGAATATTAGCTGTTATTTCTCTCTTCAACGCTGCCTTGGCAAGATCATCCGCCCTTTCATTCCCTTCCACCCCTTCATGTGCTGGCACCCAACAAAAATGCACATCTATTCCTCCTCTGTGCAACCTAAATAAAGCATGTTAAATTTCTAAAATGAGGTCTTTCCTATTGTTTCCGTTTGACTTTATACTTTCTATTACCGCTTTTGAATCTGTGAATATTGCCACTCTATCTGGTCTAACCTCCTCAATCCATTCCAAACTAAAAATAACTGCCACCATCTCAGCCGTGAACACTGACAGGTGATCTGAAATTCTTTTGTTAATACATACTTCAAATTCTGGTATGAAGACTCCTATTCCCACCCTTCCCTGATCGTTTTTTGATCCATCTGTATAGATTTCTAAGTAATTGGAATATGTTTCTTTAATATATCTGCTAGATTTTCACCCCTATTTCATTACCTTTCCATTCTTTTTTCCATTCTAGTAATTTTTTGTCCACTTTACTTTCAGGGATTAGCCAGGGTGATATAACACTTTTTGGATTACTCCTAGCAAATTCTATATTTTCTATCCCATATATTTCTGCTAATTTATTTATCCATCCATCCATTATCTTTACCCGCTTCTTCCATTTTGGGTCACGGGGGTCGCTGGTGCCCATGTCCAGCAATCACTGTGCGAGGGGCGGGGTACACCCTGGACGGGTCGCAAGTCCATCACAGGGCCACATAGAGACAAACGAGACAAACAACCATTCACTTTCTCACTCACACCTAGGGACAATTTAGAGTTACCAATCAGTCTAACATGCATGTTTTTGGTCTGTGGGAGGAAACCGGAGTACCCGGAGAAAACCCACGCATGCACAGAGAGAACATGTAAACTCCACCCAGAAGGCCCCTGGACCGGGGTTTGAACCAGGGACCTGCTCGCTGAGAGGCAGCAGCTCTACCAGTTGTGCCACCGTGCTGCCCACTTAGTTTCCATCTCATTCAAATGTGTTTGCCATGAATACGCACTGTCTAACCATATACCTAAATATTTAAATTCGTTAACCCTTTTCAACTGTTGCCCAT